CACTGCTTTAGTAATCCATTATTATTCATTACTTTCACCTACAACTCTAAATGGGATGATATTATACATTAATTATTTCCTCTGCAGGCGACTGCCCAGATTTATTTTGTCGCTTTTTCCATCAAAAATTAAAATATCATTTTTTTAAAAAATTACCTAAATTTATATGACAAGAAAAACAAATTTCTTAAAAAATTAAATAAATTGCATATAAGTTTCATTAGTATTGAATTATATTTTTGTAATTTAAATAGATAGCATTTTTTTTGTACTTAACATAAATATATAGATAGCCCTTATCAAATTTTTTGATAAAAGGAGTTAACCCACTAATTGGTAAATCTGAGATTTCCCCTTCATGTGATGATAAATTATTTAGAAATTTAACTATCTCCCGGTTTGGAAAAAAATTTTGAAAATTAATATGGGTTGGACTGGGCTTGGAAAATATTCCTCAAGATTAATATTTGCTTGCATCTGACTTGGGAATATCTTTTACAAAATATTATGGGCCGGGCTAGGAAAAAATTTTCAAAATTATTATGGGTTGAGCTAGGCTTGAAAAATTATTTTAAAAATTATAAGGTCTTGGACGCTTGGAAATTTTTTCCAAATATTATGAGCTTGGACCTGGCTGAAAATTTTTTAATGTTAAATGTTAGTCTTATGTAATCAGTAATATATTTACAAAGAATTTTGATATTGGGTAAAAGCTCATTTAAATATATTTTGACTCAAAAATAGTTTCCAATCTTAGTCCTAATGGGATGGACTCAATGACATTGGTTGGACTTGACCTAAATGGGGAGGGGGGGTTTAAAAATAATATAAATTGGATATGATTTTTAAATAAAAGGTAACATCTTTCTTAAAAAACGAATAAAATTCTCATTCTCCGTCATTTTTGACGGACTATCTACTAATCTATATTCTAAAATAATTTTATTAAAAATGGAAACTTTGTACATATAATAACAAAGTTATTTTCTAAATTTCGAGATTCGGTTTTACAGCTGTATGAATTGAGAATACAATAGAACAACTGGTTTAACTATGCAAACCTGAAGATGAGATGCAATAAAAATGTCATTTTTATGTAATCAATGTTATTGAAAGAAATAAACTAACATTTATACTACATTATAACATTAATATATAGAATTTTATATACCATACTTTTATAATTAATATGAAAGAAATAACAACATTTATTCACTTACATTAAAATATTTAAAATTTTTAATGAAACTAACTTAATATATAAATGAGGCATACTATATTGGTCTATTGCCTCTAGATATTTAAGTATACACACTCTAGTTCCACTTACCATCAACATTTCTCCTTTTTCATCACAATTCCCATAATACAATAATGCTATTACTAATGATATAGATCAATTAGCCCTTTATTAAACCATTTTTTGCAATCAAAGCTTTTATATCATGATCACATATAATAAACTGATTTGAAAATGAAAATTATAGAAATATTCCAGATAGAAAAATATTTATCAGTAAATGGATTATATAAACATATCTGTGAATTCTAACCTTAAAGGTTTTCCCTCCTTGAGGCATATTATACTATTCTATTGCATCTTGGTGTTCAAGTATACACACTCTGGTTCCAACCATTAGTATTTCTTCCTCTTCATCTCAATTCCCACAACACAATAATGCTATTACTAATGATATAGATCAATTACCCCATTGTAAACCATCTTTACAATCAAAGCACATATCATGATCACATATAATAAACTGATTTGAAGATGGACAATAAAAATTATAAAATCATTCCAGATAGAAAATTTTAAATTTATTAGTAAATGGATTGTATAATTTATGACAACTCTCAACAAAAATCTCTTCACATTCTACTGATATGAATTTTAATTTACAGAACAATACATAGATTTATCCATAAACACATCTGTGATTTTTAACAATAATGATATTCACCTTCACCCTAAATATGATAAAAATTCCTAATCCATGAGCCTACCAGACCTCAGCACAGCACCTACCAAATGTAACTGCCCATTATGTAATAAACTTATTAAAGTAACCAAATTGGGGCTATTGCCATTTCATAGCAACCATAAAATAAAGTGTCCTCAATCTGGGCTACCCATCTTATCACCAGCTATTCCTAAAACCTTAATGCCTTTTCTGCCCTTGCCCTCACAACTAAACAACCCATAGTCACCATTCTAACATCATTGGCTGATGTGCTCAGAGCCCAATAATATCTTATAAATGATTCGACGTTTGACCCAGCCGACTCAAATGTAGAAATATTTCTAACGACACCAAAACCATTTGTAATTTCACGAATACCTAAAGGAGCAAGGCTTCAAGTTGCGAGACACCTGTCAAAAAACTTGAATTCATTGTTAAATATTTATTCTTATGTAAAACACTGGCTAGACACCCTGTCATTTGCCTTTACTACCTTACAAGTTCCTAAATCTGCCAGCGAAAATCCCTGACCCAACAAATAAAGGATGCTACTATTTACCCCTTACCCATCAATCACATTACCACATCTTTTACGAGTGATGACACAGATAAAAATACAAATCACAAAAATGACCTGCTCACCAAGACCAGGCTAATATCTAAAAAATTGGATAACCTGAATATTAAATCCGCCATACGTTTGGCAACCTCCGACAATAAGCTGGCTCCCTACGATTTAGTAACTTATCAGGCCCTTCCCCTAAAACACCACTCACACGATTATAAAAATGAAACACCGACTTACCTTGAAACTCCTCTAATTGGCCACTTATACCTAAAGCGACCCTAGAAAGGTTATTCTCTCCTTCAAACGTGATTCCTCACCTGGGTTCAATGGGTTTCGCCAAATATTCTTACAAGACCTTACCGCGCCTTACATAACACAACAATGTGACGTTCTAGAAAAAATTACCCAATTAATCAACCGTATGCTTACTGGAAGATACCACCCGCCATTATTCCACTGCTCGGTGCTAAACTCATCGCTCTCCATAAACCCAATAAAGACTGGGCGCCGATTAACTGCCAAACTAGCTAGTCAAAATAGACTTCTCAAACGCCTTTAACTCTCTAAGACGTGGAGCTTTTCTAAATCCCAACCCTCTACCCAGAATTCTCATAATTTATCTTTATTTGTTGTGCTAATCCCTCGCATCTTCAATTCGGAGATAGATTGATTCCTTCTAGCGATGGGATACAACAAGGTTATTCTCTAGGTTCCTTTTTGTTCTGTCTGGGCATTAATAGTCTAATACGAGACATTAATGACCAGTGCAAGCTAAATCTTTATAACTGGTATATCGACCATTGACCTCAACCACGATACTATGTTCAATCATACACCATTGAACGCTTTAACACATCTCGGATCTCCAGTAGGTAAAGACGAGTCCTTTAACAAGTTCTTTGCCGATATTCTACTAGGAATATCCCTTATGCGCGATACACTATCTCGCCTCCCAGCTCACCAAGCTTTCTTCTTATTAAAGCACTATCTTTTAATTCTAAGAATTTTATAACTCCGAGCGTCACGGATTTTAACGTCAACATCGCTTCACACGAACTGGTGATTAAACGCCTAACAGAAGATATCCTCAATCTTAAATTTGGGGAATTATCATGGTTACAGGCTACCTTAACAACCAAATCCGACGTCATTGGTATAAGGTCACCTTCCCCACTTTCTGTTAGTGAGTTCATATCCTCTCGCCTGTCCTGCGAGCCCATCATTGAAACACTAACAAAAAATCCTGACCCCTTACTCCTACAGGCAATTGATCTACGGAAGTCCCTCTCATTAGTCGATCCTCCATCGTCGGCATTACAGAAGGATTGGGATAAACCTCTAGTTGGCAACTCTGTTGCATTCCTTAAATCGAGGAACCAACCAGAGGACCATTCTCCATTTCCAAAGGTAGTGGATACGAATTTCTTGAGGCCTTCCCATCCCGAAATCTTGACCAGCTTCTTATCAATGATGAGCTACGTCACGCCATCGGTCTTAGACTAAATTGCGATATATTAATACCTTATCACTGTATCCTCTATCAAACGTCGGTCAACTCCAAAGGCCGTCACTCTCTGCTGTAAAGTCAGATTCATTAAGCATTCAAAATGCAATGATACCATTGCCAGGGCCTTAAAATCCGCCGGCATCCCATCAATCCTCGAACCTACTGGCCTTTACAATTCCAATGGTAAGCGGCCCGATAGTTCGACTATGATCCCTTGGAAGAGGGGGGAATTCCTAACTTGGGATTTCTCATGCATCGATCCTCTTACCCCTTCCAATATGAATAGAGATGCCATAATAGATGACGAGGCGAATAAACTTGCTAAATATAGCCATTCTCTTCCCGTCAATTATAGATTTCTACCATTAATCGCCACTACTCTAGCTTAGTTGGGCTCTCATGCCCTAGACTTCGTTAAAGAGTGCTAGGACCGAGGATCCCAAAGAGGGATTCTACCTACGCCAACGATTAGCCATAAACTAAGTAAAATACAATTATCTAAGCTTTATTTTTTCAATATCCGAAACCCCGTAATTGAACATCCTATGCATAGTATAGACTTTGGCCATGTTGTTGCCTATTATAATGTTAGCGCTAAAAGGAAACTTGAATCTCAATCAATAAAAAAAATAGCAAGAATTAATGACTTTATATAATTGTGATTTACTAATATTATATTTTTTTACTATTATTATAACTTACCTTGATATAAATTGTCGATATAAAGAAAAGTTATACTTTACCAATTAAAATTTCGTTCATTATTTATTTTATTTTAATTTAATAAAATAGTTTTTTTAATATTAGTTAGCCATAGTGTGTTTCCAACATTGGTTCACATAAACATTTAAAAAAATGTATTTTCCTGCTGCTTTACTTTGCATTTTTTATATATTTGGCTTGGATTAGAAACGTATTTAAATTAAATAATCTGTCGATCGATCATTTATTTTCTATGCAAATTTGGTGTTCCGTATAAACCAATATGATTTATGATTATGGATATTAAATCCTTCTTTCAGGATTTTAATCCTGGGTTTTTATAAATAGTGATATATTTATTATTTTATTTATTGTTCAGAAAGTTTTTGGCCTATTTATCTCTGGTTATTTTTATATATCTACTTGCCTTACGTTTAGATGAGGAGATATTTTGGAATTATTGGTATGTCTTTATGCCATTATGGATATATAACATCATAGTTGTAATTGGGGCTCTTATTGGTAGTGCAGTTTGGTGGTCAAACCCCAGATACAGGCATTAATACTGATAAATAAACACATAATTGTAAATTTAGGTTAGATATTGAATCTTATATTCAATATAAAGCTATGATACTAACATTTGCATTGCACTTATTAATATTGATGTTTGAAATGTTATTATGTGATAAATTGCAAAATGGTAATTATTTTTGGACTTTAGTATTTATTCCATTATTATTTGCATCTGTTATTTCCATTCCAATATGTGTTTGGTCATTCCATAGGCACAAATCATTTGATGTATATCAATTTCTTTATGCTTTAAAATTCTTATATATTATTTAGTTACCTCTGTGTTGTGGAATCAATTGTGTTCAATTTATCTTTTTTGCACTTAAACTTGACAACTTCATTCAGTGGTCATGGATGGTAATTTTTTTGAATGTATTTATATATTGTCCTTTGTGTAGTTATTTTATTTTAAGTTTTCATACTTATATACTCCCTCATGTTATAGATATCTGCCCATACTTAATTTTTAAAATGATTCTCAAATTCAAAGGTAATCATTATTCTTTTAAGAAAAAAAAGATCTCTCAAATCCTAATCTATTAAACTTTCAAAACAAAGGTAATACTAGCCCTTTGTGTTAATTATTCATTTATTTTTTATTCAAATTCATTACCATTATATAGATAAACAATTTGTTATAGAAATTAATTTTTAATTTATTGAATGTAATTATTTGATGATCAAGAAAACTATTTGTATCTATTACAGTAAAGCCTTCTTGTGTGCCATATTATTGAATGATAAATTTGGAATTTTAAACAGTTGGGGAGGGGGGGGGGCTTTCATTATGCCTAAAGCATCCTATGCTCTTTAATATTACTTTTAAAAGTAGGGCACTACTACTAATGTTATTTTGAAAATATTGGCACCCTATCATTACCACTGTTTTTTCAAAAAGGTAGCATGCTATTAACTACTTTAAAAAAATTATATTTTATATATTTAATAAAAATTAACATTAAGAATATTATTATAAAAATGTAAATTATACGTATTATATATTTGATTGCATTTTTATAATAATATTGTCTCCATACTAAATAATTGTTCAACCATAGCACATGAGGGCAATATTTAATTTTCTAATCTTTTTATATAAGAAAAATGTTCATCTAATTAAGGCATCAAGATGATTTATTAGTTAATATATCTTCATTGGGTATTTGATTAGTCAACGTTACCAATCTATTTAGGTGCCCACTCCAATTGTTCACGAATCCCAGCAATCTGCTGTTCTGCAGATATAAGAGAAATCTAATATAAACTCCTTCATTTTTAGAATATTATCCAAAATTCTTGCCATCAATTCTGCCAGCTGGAAATCTTAATGCCAAATAATTATCTAATTAGATTAGTAAATTAAGGGTTATCAACCAAAGAAGTTGGCTGAACTATATCATCCATAAAATTGATTATAACTTTATCAGCAAATTTTTGAGAAACATTTGGTTTTAATATTGTTGGACATCAATTTTGTTTGAATTAAATTTGATGGGTGTAGTCTCTTTTAGTACATTAAAACTATCCAAATATATTTAAATCACTCTGAAATTATATTTAAAATGGTAGATTAGATGTTTTTTATTTTAAAGCTCCTTTGAATGATATTAGCCTTGGCTTTTTTATAATAGATTTTTTTTAAATTAAGTTCAAAAAATTTTGCTTTACTTGGAGAAGGATAATACCAGAATATCATTTTCTAGCAAAATTTTGTGGTTATCACTTGTGACAAAATTCTCTTAATGTCTATCTCTATTGGTGACATTTTATATTTTTAATACTTTTGATAAATTAAGCAGATTTTGAAAAATAAATGTTAAAATTAAATTTAAAGATTATTATATATATATACTTATTATATTTGTTGCACTATATGAATTGCAATCGAATTAGAATTGGTATAAAAATCAATGTTGGTTTTTATTCAATAAGTTTTAATAATAATAAGCTCTGTCTTTACAATTCATATATACATATATTTAGTTTTTCAAAATAAACTTATTTCAAATCAATTTAACATAACTAATGCCCAATTAACACAATACAATATAAACATAATGCCTTAAACATTAATAAATAAACATTAGAATATATATTGACAATCACTAAATAACATAACATGCACCACATCAAAAGAAGAAAAAAATTTAATAATTAAAAATCTCTAAAATTACCATTCAAATCTATATAATATATATGACAGTGATAACATAATTTATGATGTGAAGTAACTGAATTAATGATAGAGGGGAAAGAGCTTTCTTGGCCTGAGAGAGAAAATAATTGTATCTTTATAATATTGGAAAGGAGGGAAATAAATATAAAAGGAAAGGGAATAATTTATAATTTGTTGTTTCCTTATTAGGAATACAATCATTAAAATTGGGGAAAGGAGGGGAAGAAATGTATTTTTATAATATTGTTGTTTCCTTATTTTGGTATACATTCAATCAATACATTATAATAGGTAAAGGAGGGAAATTGTATCTTTATAATATTATTGTATTCTTAATTTTGGAATGCAATCAATTAATACATTATAACAGAGAAGGGAGGGGAATAAAGGTATCTATAATATTGTTGTATCCTTAATTTTGGAATGCAATCAATATATATTATAAAGGGAATGGGACTAAGGAATTTATTGTTTCCTTCTTTGGAATATAAACATTTTAATGGGGAGGGGAATAAATGTAATGGGAAAGGGATTAGTGCATTATTATATAATTGTAAAATTAATAGGTACGAATGAATTATAAAATCTTGGTTAATAATTTTAACAAAAAAAAGGTAATCGACAATTTATTGATTAGTATTTGAACATTTAATGACCAAGTTTATTAAATAACTCTAATTTTATTGATGTGAGCAATCAGAACCTTATGGTTTATCTTGGTCTCCCATATGACATTACTGATCCTCCCAATGACAGTCTTCACAAGCCAATCTTGATGTGCCCACTTTCACAAATACAGAGTTACCCAAAGTTAATTCTCTACAAATAATTCTTTTAAAATCAGGTCTAACATCACAATCATTGTTCTCTAATAAACTCCATTTCCATCTCAATTCCCTACTGAATAATCTAGCTGCAGGTGACATTTTTGTTACCAAATGTATAGTATTGCGATAATTTAATAACACATCTGCTAACATAATCTCATCCCAACCCCCTTTTATAAATCACATTCTTTGCTGTGCCTACAGCTCTTTCAGCCACCCCGTTAGAAGATGGGTGGTATGCAGGAGTAAATATTTGTATATTACCTTTTTTTTTAAAAAAAAAATTTTTAAATCATAAGACCTAAAAGCTGGTCCATTATCTGATACCAAAACTCTACAGGATAACCGAATCTAGAAACTATTTATAGTGGTATATTAATGTATTTAATCTTGATAATTTCCAGCCATCGGTACCCATCAATATTTACTAATCCATAAAAATTCTTAATAGGTCCAAAAAAAATCAATGTAAATTCGATACCAGGGCTTATTTGGTTGCACCCTGTGATTTTGTCTAACTTTGGTAATGTAGGAGCATTAACTATACACGTATCACACCCATGCACCATTTCCTTAATGTCTCTCAACTCCTGGCCAGCAAAAATATCTCATCCCATCTCAACACCCCACTATGCCCTTCATGAAGCTCGTTGAACATATTTTTCCTTAGACTTTGAGGAATAATAATTTGCTTTCTTTTAAATATACAATCATTTTTAGTATTCAAAACACTTACATGTGTCATATATTCTTTTATTTGTGAATAATCTCCACTTTATTCAAAACAAATTGTTTAACTTTTATAAGCTCAGAGTCCACTAATGTATCTCTTTTTATTATATCTAAATTACAAATAATTCTTTGATCATTAATATCATTATCAACATTTTAAAAAATGACATCTTCATTGATTAAACTAGATAACCCATTAGGAATATCTGATCTTTCCCCTTCCAATAATTAATATTAAAATCATATCCGGCTAAATGCAAAGCCTATTTTTGTAACCTTGGTGACATATTATAAAGTTTTACCGGATATGCGCCAAATAAATTTACCAGAGGTTTATGATCTGTATAAATCTCAAACATCCCACCAACTAAATATTCTCTCCATTTTTTAGCTGCCAAAACAATATCCTTCTTTCTCAATAATCGAATATTTTTTTTTCAGCACCTGACCATACTTTGGACATGACAATAGGCATCTCATGACCATCTTCTTCAACATGGAACATAACGGCCCCCATACCTTTATTCGAAGCATCAGTCGAAATAAACAACTTCCTCTATCATAATGTACTAAAATAGGTGCATTACACACACAAAAGCTTGCTCTTTCATTAATTCCCCAATATAAAATTTTCCCCTTTTTAAACAAATCAAATAAAATAGATGCCAATTTCGAAAAACCTTCTATTAACTTGGAATAATAATTCATGAGTCCCAACTAGTGTTGTTAAAAAACCTAGTTTTTACGGCCCCGACCTAATTGGCTTAGGCTCAAGCGGGCTCAGGAGTTAGCTCGAGTCTAAGATTCAAATTTATTTATTTAAATATTTTAAAAGAATATAATAATAATCTAGAATTCGTGTACCATGCCAAGTTCCCTCATATATATTTTTTAATAATATTTTTATATTTTTTGTTTTTAAATTTTTTTTAAACATAATAATTTATATTATATTATGAAAATAGATTTATTTCTAAAAAAAATGATATACTGCTATTGTAATTAGTGATCTGCATCGGGCCTAAATTTTCACATCCGGCCCGGTACGAAATTTTTTAAAAAAGCTTTGCCTGCCCGACCCAAAATATATTTTGATAAAATTTACCGGCCCGGCCCAAATTTATTTAAATATAGAAATTAATTTTTTATAATTACTCTAAATTCGATATATGTTATATGGGGTATAGTTTCTATAAATAAAATCAAATATTTTTATTTTACATAAAAAATTCAACATAAAATTGATAAATTTTGATATATTAAAAAAAAAATTCTAAGGCCCTACCACACCCGAATTTTCTTAAAAATATATTAGGCGCGTTCGGGCCTGGCCGGGTCTACTTTTGCAGATTTTTAATTGTAATATTATTTTTGTTACAATTTATTAGTTCACGACTAAAATTCTTAAGCAAAAAATATTTTTTGGAGTTCAAAAAGATTTTTGAACATATTTAGATTTGATAAGAATTTTAAATCTTGTTTGTAAATAACTTTTTTGAGAAATTCTTTTGATCTTTTATTGTTTTTTTAATCATCTTTGTAAAATTATCTATTTTTTTAAGTATAAAGAGGTGGCTTTTTCTACTTAGTTTTTTTTTAAATATTTATATTAAACTTTTTTA